AGGGGTCTGCCACCTCCTTTAGGCAGCCCACCCCTAGGTTAGTCAGCTGCACCAGGAAGGTGGGGGTCACATGCGTGCAGGGGCGAGTAGGGAGGGCACCTGTCTGGGGTCGGCCCCACAATAAGGGGGTGCCCGTCGCAGCACAGCCTTGCTGCCTCCTGGAGCATAAGCAGAATTCACCCAGGAGTGTGAGCGGTCGATGCCCTGGAGATACATGGGTAAGTGGTAGTAGAATCCATGGGCAGAAGGTGGGGAGAACAGCACGAAACACCAAGTGAGGAACACGGCCCTGCACCACATCTGTACTCCCATGTGCACCTACACGCAATCCTGGAAAATGTGTGTGCACGTGTGTGTATGGAGAGCATGAAATATATGCACCCATGTGCGCACATGCCCAGGGTACAGACACATATGCGCCTGCTCCACTCTGCACATACTGCTCTTTTCAGCAGCGCCAAGTTCCAGCCACATCCTCGGGTCAGCCCAGTGTGAGGCCCAAGTCAGTCCCCAAACTGTGACAGCCTCGCGGCCGGCCCTGCTGCCTGGAGTCAGGCCTTCATCTGTGCGGTCGGCTCTATGTCCTCCATCAACACTGAGATCCTTTGCCCACCACCTGGCAGCCAGGGCCCCCCATCCTACCTTGCTGGCCAGGATGCGGGAGACCTCATCGTCCACGGAGCCAGGGACCACCGCCAGGTCAGGGTTACTGCTGCTGATGCTCTTAGAACGGGCCAGGTAGAGGCTTGCGGGGCGGCCAGGGCCACGGGCCAGCGTGGCAGGCTGCACCGTCACTGGAGGGGCCCCTGAGGATGGAGGGGATCTGGTCAGCCACCTGCCCACTTGCCCCAGTGACCCGGTGCCCCTTCCTAGTCAGCTGCCCTTGGTGAAGTCCCGTCTCCAGGTTCCTCACCTGTAAAATGGGTGTGATCATGGCTGCTGCCTCAAAGTGACTGCCTCAAAGGGAGGCAGGAAAAGTTCAGCACTGCCAGGCATACAGTAAGTGCCTGGAGGGGTTAGTGGTTATCATTCATCATTTAGCAAATGCAAAAAAATCCACCTTTGTTTAGTGCTCACTGTGCCAAGCGTTTTGCATGGATTACTGCATCATTTCTATTACCAGCCCACTCATGAGGGAGGTATCGTTGCTATCCTCGTTTTACAAATGGAAAACAGGCCCAGAGAGGTGAAGGCACTTGCCCAGGGTCACAGAGCTTGTAGGAGGCCAAGCTGGGGTTCAAACTCAGGCAGCCCAGCTTGAGTCCCCGCTTGAGCTACTGCAGATTCTTGCGGGCTAGCTGAATCACCTGCCAGTCCTGCATCCGAAGACCACACCCCTGGGGGGTGGGGTAAAAGTGGGCAAAAAGTTATGTCTCTCTCCCAAACCAGCCATGGCCCACGTGGCCTCAGGGCCTTTACACCTGCTGTCCCCTCTGACTAGTATTTTCTACCCCCAGAGGTTTCCTTCCCTCCAGGGTCTCCCAACCACACTCACCGCCTGGGAAGCTGGGCTCAGTGCCAGGCAGTCGGAAGGCGTAGTAGACATAGGCAGCCAGCAGCGGGCAGTGACCACGGGTGTCCTGGGCAGCTTCCAGGCTTCGGTGGACGAGGCTGACTACATGGGCCATTGCTTCAAAGGCCCCACGACCTAGGTTCACTGCCGGGCAGAGCAGAGGTCAAGGACCCCTTGCCACCCCAAGGAAGAGACTCTAGGATCCAAGGCTATCAGAAGGTCACAGGGACCTGCTCAAGGCCCAGGGCGCTGGGGGCCATTTTTCAAATGGGAAAGCTGAGGGCAGAGAGATAAATAGGCTGTAGGAGGTCACCCAGGAGCAGGGGACGGGGGGGCCCCTGTCCAGATGGGGAAATTGAGGTCTGGGGCACACCCACTCACCAATCTGGCCGCCGATGACTGGGGGCCGTGTGACCAGGTGTGCAAGCTTGTCCAGCACGTGGTGCGAGAAGGCAACCAGGGGCTCAGGGCTGGCAAGGCGCAGTGCCGCCAGGCTGGCCCGCAGCTCCTGCTCCACAGTGCCCTCGCTCAGCACAGTGTCCTTGAGCCGGAGCGGGAAGGCCCCCTCCTCCAGTACATGCACCAGAGTGAAGAACTTGTCCAGGTGGGGGTCCTGGGGGAGGACCAGGGGCCATCAGGCGGGGCTGGGAGGTCCCCTGGGGATCGAGTGAGGGACTGACCTGGCAGAGACACCGAGGCCGGGACCAATGAACTGATAATAAATGAGGAAAGGAATGTTTGAATATGTTTCAATTATGTTTGAAGGGAGCGGAGGGGGGAGTGATCACAGAAATAGCAAGGGACAACAGAGGAGCAGGGGGACGACAGGACATGCACAGGGCCAAAGCCCCAGCTCCAACGGCCACTGGCACGTCCGCCCCCGCCTGAGTCAACAGCAACCCTTGCCCAACTCCTGGGATCCCGCCCCACCCCCTACCTGGGGGTGCACAGAGGACACAGCCGTGAGCTCCACGCTGAACACGCCCTTGTGGCCGTCCACCCAGCGCATGCCCGGCAGCGCCACCTGTGGGAGGGACGCACAGGGTGGGCACTGGCCAGCCCCTCCACCCCCACTGGTCAGGCTGCCAGACACAGCCCTTGCGACACTCTGACCTGAACACGGCCCCACCTTGGGGAGCAGCTGGGCACCCTGTCCCCGGCCCAGCCCAGAGTGTGGGGCAGATGGAAGGGAGCACCATGGGGTCCACTGGGCAGGCTGGAAGCCCAAGACACAAGGACAGAAAGTGGACACCCAGAGGACTGTTACTGGAGGGAGTGAATAAGGAAATAGCACGATGGGAGGTCTGGGGGTCCCCAGGGCATGACTGACAGCTCAAGGGTAATTGGGGGGGTGACAGCACTAACAGGACCCTGGAAGTTCTACTGGAGGGGGACAGTGATCAGGGAAGCAGGCAGGGCTGGAACAGAGAGGAATGGGGGACACTGAATGTAGAGGTGGGGTTAATGGGGGACAGGGAAGGACGCATGGGGGCAGTAGACCCACAGAGGCAATAACAGGGGTGATGAGGCAGCCAGCGGCCCTGGAGATCCTAGCAGAGGACAAGGTTCCCAGGGGTGCTAATGGGAGGACAGCAGGGCACGTATCAGGCAGGGACCAGGAGATAGGAGAGTCGCGGACGTTGACAGGGGTCGGTGGTGGTGGGAGGGCGGGTCCCATAGGCAGGAGCCTGGGGAGAACTGTCACACCCTGGGAGGGAGGGGGTCCAGGACACATACGTCAGGTGTGAGCACGGAGTAGCTGGGCGGGGGCTGGTCCACGGACACCGGGAGGCAGAAGGGGCCCGTCCTCAGGCGGCCGTGCTGCAGCAGGGGGATCCACTGGGGAAAGGCTGGGCATCAGGCGCGGGCTGGGCAGGGCCAGGAGGGAGGGGTGGGCACAGGCCGGCGGGGGGTGGCTCACAGTAAAGCCCACAGGAGTCTCCAGGGCTGCGCCTGGCCGGGGCTGGCAGCTGACATGGTAGAAGGTGAACAGCAGGTGGTGGTTCTCAGTCACGCAGGCGGGAAGACGCAGTTTGAACTCCTCGTAGAACTCGGGTGACCTGCCAGGGCCGGGCAGGGGGCTCTGCTTGGGGCTGCGTTACCCCCGGCCCACCCCACGCTCCTGCCACGCATTTCCTCATAGCATCCCAGCACCGACCCCTCCCTCCCCTCTTCTTGCCCCAGTTGTCCACTACTGCCCCATCCCCCCAACCCCACGTACTTGTTATGATAGACCACTGGGGTGAAGGCCTCTCGGGTGAATTCACTGCAGCTAGACTTTCCAAAGATGACCTGGGGGAGTGGGGACGTGAGCAGCCCACTGGGGACACACCGCCCCCCGCCTCCCTCAGGCCTGGCCACTGACCGGCAGCGCCTGGCCGGGGTCCTCGCTCGCCATGTACTGCACTCGCACGGCGAGGTTGCGCACGGAGCCCTGGCGGCTGCTGAAGTTGAGGCAGTGTGGGTACACGTACAGCAGGTTCCTGCGGGTGCAGGGGAGTGTCACAGGGACAGAGAGACTGGGCTGCTGGAATGGCGGGACGGGCCTTGTGGCTGGGGCACTGAGGGCCGGGTGAGGGGCGTGAGACATGACTAGCAGAGAGCGGAGGACAGTCAGACACCCTCAGAGAACAGACGGGGGTAGAGCGGGTCAGAAGGTGGGAACACAGAGGGACTTGAGGGGACACAAATGAAGCACAGTGAGATGGAGGGCAGGGGACATGGGGGTGCCCAGGGCTGCGGTCTGAGAGCCGGCCAGTGGGCAGGACTGAGCCCCGCCTGGGCTGAGCTGCCCCTCACCCAGCTCCGGGGCCTGGACTCCCCCCAGCAGAGGCCACTAGAGCTGTGTGGCCAGTCTCTTGGGTATGTGAAGGGAGACCAGAATCAAAAGTAGAGGCTGGGCTAGAGTCAGGGTTCTGCTTCCCACCCCCAGGGGCAATGATGCAAGCTCCACCCTCCCTCTCAGCCTCAGATTCCCTATCAGTATAATGGGAGCACGGCCCAGCTAAGCCTTTGTCACACCACAAGTGATGATAAACAATGACAATCATTGCACCAAACACTAACACCTACTGTGTGCCAGGTCCCAATCTAAGCACTCAACGAGTAACAACTCACATCTCACAAGCAGCCTGTGAAGGGGGACTAATGTCACCCCCATTTTACAGGCAGAGAAACAGAGATACTTGTCCACAGTCATCCAGGGAGAAAAACGAGTTGGTACAGATCCAGGCCATGTGTGGGACCTTGGAGTTGGGCTGGTGGCCCATTCCCCAAGCTCCGAGCTAGGCCCAGAAAGATCCCAGCATGGCGGGCTTGTGGGAAGGGTTTGAGATCAGCTGCCGTCATGACAGTGAAATAGCTCTGGGCAATCAGGCGGTGCTCATAAAAACCTCAGTGTTATTCCTGTTATTGTCGAGCCTACCCACGAGTGGGAAAACCAAGGCTCAGGGCCTCCGGTGGGACCTTAGCCTCCCCTCTCCCAATGCCCCCAGCCCGTATCTGGCTGAGCCCCAGCCAGCATGATCCTGGCGTGGCCCACGGACATCTGCCTGATGCAATTGTCGCGCCACCGCCAGGTCCTTGCACAACATGGGGCACCCAGCTGGCCAGTTAACGATTGACCGGGAGTCGGGGGGTGGCCGGGGCATAAAAGGCAGCAGCAGTGACACTGTGGCCGCACCCTCAGACCCTCCTCAGCCATGCCCACGCTCACACTGTGCCTTCTGTGTGCCCTGGCAGCAGTGGCCCGGCCTGCTTCGGCGGCTCCCGTGGGCAGACTGGAGCCAGCGCAACATGAGGAGCTGACCCTGCTCTTCCATGGGGCCCTGCAGCTGGGCCAAGCCCTCAACGGCGTGTACAGGACTACGGATGCACAGCTGACAGAGGCCAGGCACAACCTGGACCTCTATGGCCGTACACTGGGGCTCCTGGGGCAGGAAGTCAGCCGGGGCCGGGATGCAGCCCAGGAGCTACACACAAGCCTGTTGGAGATGCAGGTAGGCATTGCAGTTGGGGTGTTGTGGGCTGGGTAGGAGTCTGCAGCATAGTTAGGTCTAGGGTGACCGACTGTCTGGGTTGGCCCAGGACTGAGGGGATTCCTGGAATATAGGACTTTCAGTGTTAAAATTAGGCAAGTCCAGGCAAACAAAAATGAGCTGAGCATCTTATTAACTAACGCCCATAATCTATTGATCAGATGGAGGAGAATGCTCTAAAGCTGCAAGCAGAAGCTATAGCCCAGGCTCTGGGAGAGGTGGCCCAAGGACAGCAGGTGTTACATGAAAGCATGCAGCAGCTGGAAGTCCAACTGAGGGATGTTTGGCTGGACCATGCCCGCCAGGAATTTGAGGCATTAAAGGTAAGATGCTCCCAGTCCTGGGGGAATTGAGACCCTGATCCCCAGACAGAACTTTCTTCTAACCTTGAATCCTAGAGACATTCCCTGGTTGACTTTCCAGAGCTCTGGCCTCTACCCTGTGTGACCGTGGGCAAAAAAACCACATCTCATGCCTCAGTTTCCCCATTTGCAAAGAGAGGCAACAACTGATGTCTCAGTGCCAAATCAGGGGCTCGACGCAGATAAAATATTTAGCGTGGGGCAAGGCACATGGTAGTTACTCAATTAACGTATACCACTAGAATAATAGTTCTGGAATCCAGTAAGTACCCAGCACTGTTTTATGTTATTTAATAACCTATATCATGCTCATTAATAAGTGCATGAAGTGAGTTCTATTTTACTCCACTTTACAGTTGGGGGAGTTGAAGCCAGAGAGAGGCAATGAAATGCCAGGCGACTGAGACGTAATGGGGGCTGTGCCACAGGGCAAGGTTGGACGATGGGAGTTGAGGCAGTCCCCAGCTGAGGTTTCTGTCCTGACCCTACAGGCCCACGCTGACAAGCAGAGCCACACCATGTGGGCCCTCATGGGCCACGTGCAGCGACAGAGGCAGGAGATGGCAGAGCAGCAAGAGCGGCTACAACAGATCCAGGAGAGGTGAGCCTGGTGGGGGGATGGGTAGGCAGGGCTGCTGGGTAGAGGGGTGCACAGGGCATTGGGACGGGGGTCCCTTCGCGTTGGCTGAGACTCAGCTGTCTCCCAGACTCCACACAGCAGCGCTCCCAGCCTGAGCCTGCCTGGGCAGAACTGAGGACCAACCATTCACACACCGAGGGACGCTTTCAGGCCCCACGTGGCCCCTGCCCAGGGAGGAGCAGCTGGTCTGCTGGAATCCGCCAGGGCGCTGGGCCCCACTTCCAGCAGCGGAGCAGAGACAGAAGTAGGTGGGATGCAGACAGAGAACATGGCCCCGTCGCGGAGTGCAGGAAGGGCATGTGCCCTTTTATGCCCACCTGCCCCTCATTAAAGCAGAGCAACAGCATCTCACCCTGTGTGTCTGGGAGAATGGGGACCTCGCTTTGCATGATGGCTGAGTGGCCCCCCTCCAATGCCGAGCTGGGCCCCAGAGGTGTACCTGTAGCTGGTGTGTGGGGCATACACCTCCCGGGCTGGGAACTCCAGGATCTCCTTGGTGGGACGGCCTCTGGGGTCTGGATAGGGCTTGACGTGAAGCAGCTCCGGAGAGAGGCAGAAGTGGGGGTTCTCGGGGGCCGGGGAGATGTCGATCTTGAGCTGGGCTGAGGAAGGGAAGGTCTGCACCTGCTCAGGAGCCTCCGGGCCCGGGCGGGGGAGGGACAGGCCTCACCCTCTCTAGGCTTCAGATGCCCTCTGGTGGCTCTGTCCCTCACGTGCTAAGGCCAGAAGTTGTCCTCAACTCCTTTATCTTACCCTATATTTGACCAGCTCTGTCTGCAAGACCCATGTCTCCATTACCACAACCCTGGTGTGACCCACTGTCTTATTTATTTGTTTACCATATGTGGTCCCCATTAGAGATCCAGGCTTGGCAGCCAGGGATTTGTCTATCACAGTCACCATCTTGACCTGGCACAGCAGGTGTTCAGTGTGGGTTTGTTGAGTGACTGTATAAGAGTGACAAGCCTTGTTTATAGGGTGTGCACACACCGGTGACGGGCCGTAGGCGCCGCAGTAGAGATGACGGGCGTCGCATGTCAGCCAGGAACTTGAAGAGGTCCTCGTCACTGAGCCTCTCGGCCTCCTGCATAGGACCGGCCCCCCATAAGCTGGGTCCCTTGGGGCCTGGGTAGCCACAGGGTTGGAAAGGGGGGTTGTCCCTGGTCACCCCTTATCTCTAGCCCCCTGTCCCACTGTCAGGACACCTGCTTAAAGAAGTTGGTGACAGTTAGGGTGGCTGGGCGGAAGCCAGAGAAGCTGCAAGCGTCATCCCCACAACTCATCCTGTCCTGGGGCCCCCGACGGCGGCGCTCAGTCCAGGCAGGTCGACGCTCTAGCGGAGGCATTGATGGAGCGGGAGAGGACGGGAACGCAGGGGGAAGAAAAAATGGTAATTCAGCGTGGTGCCAAGTTTGGCTAGCAGAGGGCGCGCTTTCCCCTCCCCAGTAGCTCCGCCCCGGCGTCTCAGCCCCGCCTCCTCACCGCCCTCAGAGTCTGAGTCGCGGTCGGGCTGCCCCGCGCTGCTCACGATGTTGGCCAAGTGCACCGCCGTCCAGGCGAAGGGCATGCGGTAGCGGCCCAGGCGGGTGCAGAACTGCTCGGCCGCCAGGCGCAGCTTCTCCAGCTTCTCTTTGTTCTGCGGGGAGATCCCCCCACACACACACCCCATGAGCTCAGGGCCGCAGGCCTGCTGACCTGGCGATCCACCCCTTCACCACCTAATCCAGCCTGCGCGCGCTTACCTTGGCTGTGTCCACCTCCTTCATCACCATGTAGGGCTCACAGCACTCACTGATGTCCCCCTGCTGCAGCACCTTCTCCAGCTGGGGGGCAGGCAGGCCCAGTGAAGTGCTGCCTGGACCCCAAACTTCCCATCCCACCCCCAACCTCCTGGACCCCTCATGAGCCCCCAGACACCGTATCCAGCTAGGGCTCTCACTCCAACACCTCCTGTGGCTCCCACTGTCTTCAAAATTGAGTGCTAACAGTCAGCTTGCCTGGCCAGCTGCTTCCTCCCTGCCCTTCGAACCCAACCAAGACTCCGCATTTTCCGTACATTTACATTTTTCTTTGTCAGTATGAACAGAGGCTACTCAGAACACGGCTCTGGGCCACAAGGCCTGGACCCCAATCCTGACCATGTGGGGGCTGTGGGACCCTGAGCAGGTCCCTTACCCATTCTGTGCTTGTTTCCCCTTCTGTAAAATGGGGGGCATGGCAACCATTTCCTGGGGCTGCTGTGGGGACTAAAGGTGGGAATCCTGGGAAGCTTGCATGACTGAGCAGCGCCTGCCTGTAGGTGCTCGATTAGTGCTCATTAGCACCTAACTGAACATCTGAGAAAGAGATTTGAGGTCCCTCCTGGAAATAGAAAAACCCAAACCAATGTGCCAAGCAGGTCTTTCCTCCCCTACTAAACCGAAAAATTCTCAACTTAAAAAAACATTTTAAATGTCTGTCTGCATGTACTAGAGTCTCAGCTTGACTGTCACCTCCTCATAGAAGGCCTCCGTGATTTCTCCCCACCTGGGCTGGGTCAAGAGCCTCCTCCAGGCTTGCCAAGCTGCCCGTTTCCCCAACAGCGCCCTTCACGCATCCCTCTTGGTGACATCTGTCTTCTTCCATGAGAGCAGGAACCACACTGGGGCATTCACCATTCCCACCCCCTTGCTCAGCCCCAGTGGGCACCTTGATGACCAGGAAGATGTCAGGCGAGGGGTAGGTCACGGAGAAGATGGCAGAGCGGGCCAGGGTGGAGATGGCGGGGTGGGTGCTGTGGGCCCGCAGTAACCCCTTCATGGAATCCGAGTTCAGGTCGAAGTAGAAGTTCTCTGAGATCTGGGGGCACAAGAGGTAGCTGGGCCACCACCTCCAGGAAGCCCACCTCTCTGCAACGAGGAGGAAGATGGGGAAGAGGAGGAGAAAGGGGGTCTTACCTTCTTCTTCTCCCGCACATCGTACAGAGCCAAGATGCCAAAGATGGGTTCAATTTCGATCTCAAACCTGCAGTGAATGGGGGCTCTCTGGCCAAGGAAGTCCCTGACGCTCCCACCGCCCACACCCCTGCTCCCTCGTGAAGCCCAGCCCACCTGGGTGCACTGTGTCTGTGTGTGTATGGGGGGTGGGCGTCTGACTCCCATGGGGCCACCTGGAACCATTATTTAAGGACTTGCAGGAAAGGCCCGTCCCGTTTTGCAAAAGGGGGAACTGAGGCACCAAGGTTTGGGTTTTTTTTTTCTCATCCTCTCTCAGTAAGTCACACAGAGCCCCTCCCTCACAACCGTGGCTCTTGTTCAGTTGGGGTGTCGGCACTTTCTGGCACAACACTCCCCCACTCTCGAAATTCTCGACTCCTGGGCCTCCCTGTCTCTCCTCTCTGGGGTGTTCTCTGCCATCTCTGCCATCTCTAGGTCCTGTCTGCACTCGCCAGGACGGCCCCTGGAACTGCCTCTGTCTTACTCCACCCTACTGGCCCCTACTAACCATGTGCCTTCTAAGGAAGCAACTTACAATTTAAAGTTTCAAGCATCCCCACTGTCCTGAGAATAAAACCTGGCATGGCCCGGCCCTGCCCACCTCTTGGCCTTATTTTTCCCCTCTCCAGATGTCTTATGGCATCCGCCACCTGTACAGCCCTGTGTGGGCACCCCACAGTTGCGTGTTTTATAAACAGCAGGCACTCAGGGAGTGTTTGAGTGACTGGAGGAACCTACAGAGCCGGTACCCAACCCCTGTGCTTGGGCCAGCAGCCCACCCGGGCCCCAGGCCAGACTGGGCCTCCTTTTCCTGCCGCCATCCAGGCAGGAACTCAGGGTGGGGAGGGGCCGGCCAGGCTTGGGTCCAAGGCCACATCCGGTTCATTTCCATTCCCACGCACTTCTGGCTGCTCCCAGGGGGCCCACGTGGAGGGGGCCTCAGTCACTGGATGCCAGGCCCAGGGTTACCAGTGTCCCCTCCAGCCTGGGTCCCAGCAGCAAAGCAATTGTCAAGACTCAGGCCTCACAAGTCATGTGATCTTGGGTACAATGACCTCGCCACTCTGTGCCTCAGTTTCCCCTCTGTCCACTTCACAATGTTGTGGTGAAGATCTGAGTTGATATATGTGATGGGCTGAGAACACGGCCCGGCACATAGTTGGTGCTTAAGGATCAGCAGCTTTGCGTAATGAAAAAAAATGTCTTATTTCCCATCTAAAAGTCTATGAGCATCCTCACGGGTCTCAGGAGTACACAGGTAACAGCATAGCTTGTGAATGAGCACCAACCATATGCCTGAACCACAGGCCACACGGGACCGAGTGTGCCTAAAGGGAGGGGTGGGCTAGCACACTCACTTCAGTGACAGACACTTGACCAGGATCCTCCGTCCAAAGTGCTCACGGGGTGGCTCCGGGCGGCTGCAGCGTTCCACAGCCTCATCCTAACAAGGCCAGAGGGGACAGCTGGGACCCGTGCTCCAAGAAGGGCTTGGAACATGCAGCCTAAGGCCAGCTCTGTCCCCAACCTAACTAGAAACTTCTTCCAGCCCCTTGCATCTGAGCCTTTACACATGCTTTTCCCCTTGCCCGGAATGCCCTTCTCCCCTCCTCTGCCCAATGTCTGCTCCTAGTTCAGTCGCAGCTTAGCCAGCACGTCCTGGCAGGCACAGTCTCTGGTGCTCACAATGCCCTGCAATGGACCACAGGGCTTAGACATTAAGGGCTACATGAGGGACAGTTTCTGGCACCTTATCAAGGCACTACTCTGTCTGTAATTTCTTGGCAGGAGGGTCTATACTATACTAGACTGTGAACTCTGAGGGCAGGGACTGGGTCTACCTTGCCACACAGCAAGCACCCAAACATGTTAGTTGAACAAATACAGAGATATACAGAAGGTACCTACTAAAAATTGGTTGGATGAGCATAGGTGTATATGGAGAGCATTCAATTAATGCCAGCTGGACATATACTAGGCATAACTGATCGAATAAATAGAGGTATGTACAGTACACACTCAACAGATAGCTTGAGGGAAACAAAAACGTATACACTTGGTACCCAATAAAGTTTGGTTGGATAAATTTAGGCATATATAGTAGGTACGCAATAACTATTAGTTGCTTGAATGCTGTGGATATACAATACCAGTTGAAAAAATATGAGCGTATAGTAGGTACCCAATAAATGCGGGATGGTTAAATATAGCAGTATACATAAAATAAATAAAAGCCACTGAATATGTAAATACATACAGTAGTTGCCCAATAATTGCTGGTTGGATCTATACAGGGGTATATAAGGTGTCCAATAAGAGCCACTGAATTAAAATATGTAGGGTATATACTAGGTGCCCCATAAATGTTGGTTGGATAAATATACATATACATGGTAGGTAGCTCAATAAATATTGGTTCTGTATGACTAAAGAGAGGACTACCGA